GCAGTGTGTGTATGTGATGCAGAGCCTTGGTGGGGGGTGGGCATTTTTATTATTTTTTTAAATTATTATTATTTTTTATTTATTTTTATATTATTAATATTTTTATTTTTATTTAATATTATTTAAATTTTTATTTATTTATTTTCGCCGCCCTCCCTGCTTGATACATGGCCAGGGAGGGGGGCTCTCATTCCCTGGTGATGTACTGTGCAGGAGGGGGGCTGGCAGAGAGCTGTAACTTACCTTTCCTGCAGCTCCTGTCAGCTACCTTCACCTCCATTCCGGTTAGCTCCCTTCTCCTCCACTGTAAGTCTCAGTAACCCGTGGCAACGCTCTGACCCCGCGGCTCTCACGAGACTTACAGTGAGAGCTGACAGGGGAGCTGACCGGCACCGAGAAGAAGGGAGCTGACAGGAGCTGCAGGAAAGGTAAGTTACAGCTCACTGCCAGCCCCCAACAGGACTTGTAATGAGACCAGCGGTCCAGGTCTGTATTATGGCAATGTAAGTTGCCATAATACAGACAGTGACTCGAGTATAAGTCGAGTGGGGTTTTTTCAGCACAGAAAATGTGCTGAAAAACTCGGCTTATACTCGAGTATATACAGTACGTTGTTTCACTTCCAATAGTGTTCAGAGCAGTATTTCTTATACTAACACTAATTGGTAGCAGTTCTGCTGCTTGCTTTAACATCACTAGTAAACCTGCTAGAAGATTAATAAATAACCTGTGCAATGTTTGCACACACAATGTGAGCATGTGTGAGTACTCTCCCAATGTCAGCACATGTGCGTACTCTACCAATGCAATCCCTTTATCATCCAAACCATGTAGGTAACTCTCTGCACCACATGGTACAGATATATGTTGGAAATTCTGCAATATTGTATTACAGGCATATCAGAGACAAGAATTATTTATTTTAAAATTCTCTATTAGAGTATTAGAGTAGAGTAACAAGTATTTATCAAAGTTATTTTTTCAAAGCAAATCGTTGTGTCCAATTTGTTTTTTCCTGCAATGACCTTAAATGGTCCTTTTGTAATAGATGACATCATATTCACTCGCTGATCTTTTTAACCGGATGTTAAATGAAATTGCATTATATTTAACAACGCTGAAAATAAAACCGAAATTGGCAGAAAAGAAGAGCTACCTACTGCAAAATCTAGGTTTCAACAGTACAGCACAAGATATCCTTATTGAATAGACTGGTCATAGCTACCCTGAATCTGAATTTCCTTTCTTAACATCCTTTACAGTTCTGACTGTAATATTAAGATATGCACTTTAAGAGGAGCTTCATGTGATGATTTTTACTGATCAAACAAGTCATCAGTTCTTACTGCATCAGCTTTCATTTCATTGGTTTAAGTCTGTCTAATTTAAATTATACTTGATTATATTATGCAAGATTGTTCGTTGCACTATAACATTTACCTGTGCAAGCAAATATTGACGATCTGCATGGCATTGTTCTTGATATCTGACTAGAATCTTCCCAGGTGCATATTTGAAGCCACATAGAGATAGAGGAGGGGTTACTGCAGTGCCCAAAAATCAAAACAAGACCAGATAACTCTGTGCTGCTAGCCTTGTACCATGTTGCTTAAAGCAGGGCTAAATCCAACTACTGGAAATAAAGAAAGTACAACTAGTTGCTAAGTGTGCACAAGGAGTGCTAACAACAATTCATTTGAAGGACCAAAAAGAAACAGATGTTTTGGCTTTCCCCTTTGTCAGCGCAAATCTGTCGTTACACAAATAAATTACACTTACCCACACACACACATACACACATGTATATCTATATATATACACACACATACACACACCCCAACAGAAGTGCTAAAAAATAACCCAGGTCCGCCAAAAAAATTAATTTTCAAGGCTTTCACACCTGCCTATCTGACTATGTAATGTATCTTCAAGTACTACCAAAGCAAGGAGCACAACCATAAATATATTCAAAAATCTTTATTAGATGGATCCACAGCAAATGGATATCTCATTATACGTATCAATAAATCAAAGCAAAAGCAAACATTCCCACACAAATGGTACAGAGAAATTGACAAAAGTTATAAAATGACATATGAGCGAAATATATAGTAAATGAATGAATACCAGTGTAGTAAATAGCTATATGATATACCGAATCATAACAACACAAATAAATCTATATACAAAGAACAAATACATACCAGACCTAGTGAGAAGAGGGAATCATCAAAGGGCCACCCGGTAGAGAAAATCCCAAAAGAAAAGAGACTAATAAAAAAGAAGAAAAAAAGACTAAAATCATGTAATACCAAAAGAAACAACAAAAACCACAAACTACAGGCAGAGGTCAAAAGTGAGGAACAACCTCAATGTGATCAAAGCACACAAAGTAAAAAAATGGGTGTAGTACATTCCATGTGACGGGTCACATGATTAACTCCAATGGTTTTACCTGAAGGGATTGAAGTTTCAATCTTCATTCAACCCGCGAGGAAATAATGTGCCCAACCGATAAATGCACCGGAGTTCTGCCCGTTTGAGAAAATCTGCAGGGGAACAGCCAGAATAGGGTATCCTTATTCGTTCTATAGCCTGAAATCGCAATTGAGCCACAGAGTGGCCGAGTCAATGAAATGTTTAGCCAGAGGAATATGCCGTTTATTCGTGCAAATGGTACTTTTATGCTCACCAATGCATACGGTTAAGGGTCTAGAAGTTTGTCCAACATAACCAAGTCCACAAGGACACTTGATAAAATAAATCACGCAATCTGTTTGACAATTAAAAAATTCCTTATTGGTGAACATTGTACCTGTTCTTGGATGTGTGAACATTGTTACAATTGGCGCAATGTCCACACCAGTGCATGCCCTTGATTGGTGTCAACCAAGTTGTAAGAGGCTTAGTAGACATTCTAACTCTAGAAGGTGATACTAAACGTTTAATATTTTTTAAACTCTTATATGCCATTAGAGGTCTCTCACTGAAGAGATCGTGAATCAATGGATCACTGTACACCGTATCACGTACACCACATTCGCAAATGTGCACGAATATGATCCCTTAATGTTGTATGATTTGTTAATTTAAGAGGAACCCACACTCAAAGAAATATTTCCTGAATCCCCCAATACTAGCATTCAACCTACCGCATAACCTGAGACAGAGATTGGTCCGCGGCAAATTGACCACAGAACAGTAGCTCACACAGAATGGCACTGTATGATGCAACAAATCACTCTGAAAACTGTGTCAACATATATGTGGCAATAATACAACTAGAAACAATAACAAATCATACAACATTAAGGGACTATATACGTGCACATCTACGAATGTGGTGTACATGATACCGTGTACAGTATGTGACAAAGGTTGCTACATTGGAGAAAGTTGCCTTAAGCTGCATCTGAGAATGAATCTACACAGACACTCAATCAAGAACCACAAGGAAAATGGATATTATATATATATTATTATATGACCCTGTTGGTCATCACTGTAACCAGACTGATCACTCCATCCAAAACCTCAGGATTGAAGTTCTTAAAGGGAATTTCAAAGACTTGCATGAAAGAAAGACATTTGAGATGAAAATGATGAAGGACTTAATGTAGATTCTGGATTTCTCACACGCTACGAAAACTTTCTATAAATACACATCTTAATGTCTTATACAGTTCTTTTTCAATATTTTCGCTTTACCTTTATTGGATCAATTTATATACATACATATATGCAGCTATATACTTGCATGCCCTGCTCTGCTGTTTTTTTTTTTTTTTTTAACCCCTTAACGCCGTTACAGAGTTCTATGCCGTCGCGGCTTTAAAGGGCTTTAAAGCCGTTGCGGCGGCATAGAACGCCGTAACGGCTTAAGCCCTGGGGACCTCCAATTTACTTACCTCCGCCGCGATCCTATTCGGGAGGGCTGCCTGACCGCCCAGGCAGCCCTCCCACGGCGAATGAGGCCCCCGATCACATGGCCCCCTATAGCTAGCTATGGATCTGCCAGCAGGGGGACTGTCTGAAATATCAGACAGTCCCCCTGCTGGTGGGAAATGAAAAAAAAATAAAAATAAACATGTGTATATATATAACGTCATACGTTGTATTTTAATACTAATATTAGTATATATATTAATATTAAATTACACTTAGAATGACATTACATATATATTATATATATAATAGATATATACACATATATTATATATATATATATACGTATAATTACAATAATAAATAAATAAAATAATAAAATAAATAAATAAAATATTGAAACAAAATGTAATATAAATTATATATTCATATGCAATTTCATTCTAACTGTATTTTGTTATTAATATATATATATATATATTGGTAACAAAATACACTTAGAATGACATTCTATATATATCTATCTATATATAAAATACAAATAACCGCAAATATATATATAATATATATATATATATAGATAAATACATATAATTACATAAAAGATTACATTAGTATACACGTAGAATTTAAATACCTATAAATGCATATATATTAAAATTCTACGTGTATATTTAAGTAATCTTTTAACATAATTATGCGATTTGATTAATTACAATTTGATTGACATGCCTGACAACACAGGGAGAAAGTGCAGAGAATTTAATTCGCAAGCACTATATTTGACCCTGTAACTCTCCAAGACACCATAAAACCTGTACATAGAGGGCATTGAAATTTGCCAGATTGGTTGCCTTTGAGAGCGTATGGTAGCCCAGGAATGAGAATTACCCCCATGATGGCATACCATTTGCAAAAGTAGACAACCCAAGGTATTGCAAGTGGGGTATGTCCAGTCTTTCTTAGTAGCCACTTAGTCACAAACACTGGCCAAATATTAGTTTTTTGCTTTTTTCAAACAAAAACAAATATGGACGCTAACTTTGGCCAGTGTTTGTGACTAAGTGGCTACTAAAAAAGATTAAACATACCCCACTTTCAATACCTTGGGTTGTCTACTTTTTCAAATGGTTTGCCATTATGGGGGTAATTCTCATTCCTGGGCTATCACACCGTCTCAAAGGTAACATTACTAATCTGGCAAATTTCAATGTGAAAATGGAACGTTCTATATTTGACCCTGTAACTTTCCAAAACACCATAAAACCTGTTAATGGGGGGTACTGTTGTACTCGTGAGACATCGCTGATTACAAATATGTGCATTTTTTTGCAGTAAAACCGTATTATGACATTAACAGCTAAAATGTCAGACGGAAATACAATTTTTTTAAAAAAATCTTATTTTCTCAATTTTTTTAAAATTGTATTCATAATAAATTATGTTCCATATATGAATAGTTAATGATAAATTAAAGCCCTGTTTTTCCTGAACAAAATGATATATAATAAGTGTGAGGGCACTTAATGTGACAGCGGTGACAGACATATAGCGCAAATTCCAGTTTTTGTTTACGTTTTGTTTTGATCAGAACGTGCACTATTGACTCCGTCCTGAAGGGGTTAACTAGCTCATTGACTCTCCTCTGTTTATTTACTTTTTCTGAACCAACCTGAGCCAACCTGAACCATTCACTTTCACGGACATCTTCTGCTATTTATGACACCCCCCTCCCTTCCCTTCTCTAACATCAGTTGTTTTAAGTGTTAAACTCTGATAAGATTGATCAGTATTGCTTCAGAACCAAAGAAGAGAGGAAAACTCTTGTCTTTTAAATATTATGTTAGTCCAATAAAAAAAGTATATCATTGCATACTGCAATACTCTGGTATTTTGGATATATATATATATATATATATATAAATATATATAAACAGACAGGGGTGCACTCACAGGTCTTGAACAAGAACGACAATCAAATTCTTTAAAGTGAACAAGTCTTCATTATAGCCGTGAATAAATCAACGTTTCGACCCCTAAGGGTCTTTTTCAAGATCTTGAAAAAGACCCTTAGGGGTCGAAACGTTGATTTATTCACGGCTATAATGAAGACTTGTTCACTTTAAAGAATTTGATTGTCGTTCTTGTTCAAGACCTGTGAGTGCACCCCTGTCTGTTTATATATATATTTAACGCGGGTTGCACCTAGGCAAAAAATATTTTGTTTTTTTCAACCTTTGGAAGTAAGGAGAGTGCCAAGCAGATATTGATTTTTTGCTATATATAAATATATATATATATATATACTGGCAGAAAAGAAAAGCTACCTACTGCAAAATCTAGGTTCCAACACTACAGCACAAGATGTTCTTATTGAATAGACTGGTCATAGCTACTCTGAATCTCTCATCAAGATATATATTTCCTTTCTTAATATATACACTGCTCGAAAAAAATAAAGGGAACACTTAAACAACACAATGTAATTCCAAGTCAATCACACTTCTGTGAAATTAAACTGTCCACTTAGGAAGCAACACTGAGTGACAATCAATTTCACATGCTGTTGTGCAAATGGGATAGACAACAGGTGGAAATTATAGGCAATTAGCAAGACACCCCCAATAAAGGAGTGGTTCTGCAGGTGGTGACCACAGACCACTTCTCAGTTCCTATGCTTCTTGGCTGATGTTTTGGTCACTTTTAAATGCTGGCGGTGCTTTTACTCTAGTGGTAGCATGAGACGGAGTCTACAATCCACACAAGTGGCTCAGGTAGTGCAGCTCATCCAGGATGGCACATCAATGCGAGCTGTGGTAAGAAGGTTTGCTGTGTCTGTCAGCGTAGTGTCCAGAGCATGGAGGTGCTACCAGGAGACAGGCCAGTACATCAGGAGACATGGAGGAGGCCGTAAGAGGGCAACAACCCAGCAGCAGGACCGCTACCTCCACCTTTGTGCAATGAAGAACAGGAGGAGCACTGCCAGAGCCCTGCAAAATGACCTACAGCAGGCCACAAATGTGCATGTGTCTGCTCAAACGGTCAGAAACAGACTCCATGAGGGTGGTATGAGGGCCCGACGTCCACAGGTGGGGGTTGTGCTTACAGCCCAACACCGTGCAGGACGTATGGCGTTTGCCAGAGAACACCAAGATTGGCAAATTCGCCACTGGCGCCCTGTGCTCTTCACAGATGAAAGCAGGTTCACACTGAGCACATGTGACAGACGTCACAGAGTCTGGAGACGCCAGGGAGAATGTTCTGCTGCCTGCAAAATCCTCCAGCATGACTGGTTTGGCAGTGGGTCAGTAATGGTGTGGGGTGGCATTTCTTTGGGGGCCCGCACAGCCCTCCATGTGCTCGCCAGAGGTAGCCTGACTGCCATTAGGTACCGAGATGAGATCCTCAGACCCTTTGTGAGACCATATGCTGGTGCGGTTGGCCCTGGGTTCCTCCTAATGCAAGACAATGCTAGACCTCATGTGGTGGGAGTGTGTCAGCAGTTCCTGCAAGACGAAGGCATTGATGCTATGGACTGGCCCGCCCGTTCCCCAGACCTGAATCCAATTGAGCACATCTGGGACATCATGTCTCGCTCCATCCACCAACATCACGTTGCACCACAGACTGTCCAGGAGTTGGCAGATGCTTTAGTCCAGGTCTGGGAGGAGATCCCTCAGGAGACCATCCACCACCTCATCAGGAGCATGCACAGGCATTGTAGGGAGGTCATACAGGCACGTGGAGGCCACGCACACTACTGAGCCTCATTTTGACTTGTTTTAAGGACATTACATCAAAGTTGGATCAGCCTGTAGTGTGTTTTTACACTTTAATTTTGAGTGTGACTCCAAATCCAGACCTCCATGGGTTGAAAAATTTGATTTCCATTTTTTAAATTTTTGTGTGATTTTGTTGTCAGCACATTCAACTATGTAAAGAACAAAGTATTTCAGAAGAATATTTAATTCATTCAGATCTAGGATGTGTTATTTATGTGTTCCCTTTATTTTTTTGAGCAGTGTATATATATATATATATATATATATATATATATATATATAAATATGTGGCTATGTACATGTTTGTTTGTCAAATTATTTATGTCAATCTATGTGATCTATTTATATGAAATCTCTAGGTAGCTTAACCTTATTTCTATGAGTTAAATATCTTTGTCTCAATACAAATGTAGTTTTTTCTTTTTACTTTACCAGTTATCACTTAATACATAAAAATAAATATATAATTGTATTTCTCCATCTGACAAAGTTCTTACAATTTATTTAAAACACTCAGACAGGCATTTCCTTTAGAGAAAAAGATTATATCTCTCATATCCTAGCATTGAGATTATGAGATGGGATTCTAGATTGCACACTATAGTTAGTGTTATAAATCTTTTTTAAAGAGCTGATGTCTGTAGGATGTATTATCATACATTGTGTAGTCTAGCAATAGCTGTATTGTATACGGTTGACTTTATTTAGTTTAAACACACAGCCAGTCCACATCATGCACCATTTTTGTATCTATATGTATATAGCTTGAGCACTTCTGGCCAAATAACTAAGCCACATTTACTTGAATAAAAAGCAATATGTCAAATAATATTTACTAAATAATTACTGTAATGTATACCTTAAAGACTCAGTCGTACTGCTTTATAAATTGTTGTGTAGATTTTTAAACAATTGTCAATACAATTTAGATACCTGCCAAGTTAACCAATTAATGTTTATTTGTATATCTCTGGTTAGTATGTGTAATAATCTCAACAAAATTGTAAAAACTATCACAAAAGCAAGCGCAGTACATTTTATTAGAGTGTGCTTTCAGTGATTTTTCGTTTTGAATTTATATATAATAAGCTATTAATAAGTGATAGCTTATTACATAGAAAAGAAAAAAATAAACATCACAGAAAGCACACTCTAATAAAATGTACTGCGCTTGCTTTTGAGATAGTTTTTACAATTTTGTTTAGATTATTACACATGCTAACCAGAGATGTGTAAATATAGGTGAATTAATAACTATCAAAAACATTTGTTTTTAAAAAATTACCAACTAAATTTCACATAGTACATGCTATATACAATCAGGTATATTTAATAGCAGCTCATTTCCAAGCTTATTATATTCAACAAGATATTAAGCAGAGAGAGGTACCCACATGGAGACATGGAAGATTGTCACTTTACACACCCGGCATACCTTGTGCCACGTTATTGTTTTAAAACTATTTGAATGAGAATATATATATATTAGTTATAGGCCTAAATTAAATTAACCAAGAAAGGAAAAAAATAAACAAACATGCAATATGGTGTAACCAAAAGTATTATAAATGCAGTTAGCAGTAAAGAGAAATATTAGAAGACAATAATTAAGCAATGATGAGAACTTTCAGATGTCCTTGAGTAAACACCATTTTTTAATGTCTGTTTTTTTCCCTGCTTAGGGAATGGTATTCAAGATGTGAGCCTCGTTTTTACATTCCTGTGTTAAAATATGAAAAACTACTATGTTAATTTCATTTATTGACCATACAACAAGTTCTAGTGACTTAGTTTGGACAAAGAAAGGCAATTAACATTCTATATGGACTATACAATAAAGTTCCAGAAATCTCACTGTATAGTTTTATTTTACACCACCCCCACCCCTTTCCTTTGGCCCTCCAGCTATTTATATGAAATTGTAATATTACATAGTTGCATAGCTGAAAAGAGACATGCATCTATTAAGTTCAGCCTTTCTCAAATCTGTTTTTGCTGTTGATCCAAAAGAAGGGAAAAAAAACACAGTCTGAAGTGCTTCCAATTTTACAAAAAATCAGGAAAAAAATTCATTTCTTGACCCCATTCTGGCAGTCAGATGTTTTCTTGGATCAAGAAGCTATTACCCCACTAATTAAAAATTATATCCCTGTATATTATGTTTTTGCAAGTATTTATCCAATTGCAGTTTAAACATCTGTATGGACTCTGATAAAACCACTTCTTCCGGCAAATAATTCCATATCCTTATTGTTCTTACTGTAAAAAAAACCTTTCCTTTGCCTGAGACTTAATCTCCTTTCTTTCAGTCAAAATGCATAACCTTACATCCTAAGTATAGTCATGTTTATGAACAGATTTCCAGACAATTTGTAATGCAATCATTTCCCCTCTGAGGCACAATTTTACCAAACTAAAGAAATAAAATGTCTTAACCTTTCTTCATAACTAAAATGCTCCATTCCTTTTATCAATTTTGTAGCCTGCCTCTGCACTTTTGCCAGTGCCATAAAATCCTTCTTTAAAACAGGTGCCCAACATTTCCCAGAGTAAGAAAAGTGGTCTAACCAGTGATTTACAAAGAGGCAAAATTATATTCTCATCCTGAGAATTAGTGCCCCTATTTATACATGGCAATACCTTACTGGCCTTAGCAACTGTCGATTGACATTGCATAATGTTTCTCAGTGTGGAAATAAGTGAACCTTT